AGCGTTAGAGCATCATTTTAGATTAATAACCCCTGCAAACAGAGAGCTGCTTCTGCACTGAATGAGGGTAGCCTTTCTGAGCTCTAGTTTGACTCAGGGCACAAGCAGCTCATTAACCATCAGATGATTCAGCACTTGGTGCCTACATTTCTGCTGGCTGGTTTTCATCAGCAGACTACAGCTTTGAAGGTGAATCATTTATATGATACCATCAGACACCTGAAGAGGCACACAGGTATCAAGTCCCTCTAGCTCCAAGCCAACTAGTTTTATGTGATACAGACTGCTCTTAAATTCTGCTCTTCACTATGCAGCCTTTATAATCACATTCCCCACAAAAATTCTGACTGTAACAGTCTGGAACTTTTTTTCTCCTACTCTTGCAGAAAGAAATCATGCACAGACAAGGTCTCAGTTCACAGAGAAATACTTGTAATAGGTCCTGAGTAGAAGAAAGACGACCTCCACATTTCAGGCTCAAAAGAAGAGAGTAGGATTTTAGTCCCATCAAAGCCACCATGGAAAAAATGCTGTCAGATGTGGTCCCTCCCTGCCCCCAACAATCCCTTCTGATTTACTCATGGTCACTAATCTCATTATAGTTCCTATAATTAAAGCACCATAATATCTGATCAAGAATATAGTATGCTGTTTAAATTAACTCACACAAAGTCTTTTAATACAAGAATGACTGCTCCAAGAGAATTACAAGATTTACAAAATAAAGCATCACTAATGAGCACAGGATCAAAACTGGATTATCAAGTTTCCTGATTTGCATGTAGAAAAAGCAGGCAGCAAGGCTTCTATAAAACTTTTACAGCTGTTTTATAGGAAAAATGAAACGATTATATATATATCTTCAAATATTTACTGAAGAACAAACTGTTCTTTATAGATGTTAAGAAACAGCAAATGTTAGTTTGGTCTAGTCAATACTTGCTAAAAAGTGAGGAGTGAGATTGTTGTTCTGAATAGCATTTGTCAGGTTTACAGATCAGGGAGATAAGAAAACACACATAAATCTTAGCTTCTTTACCAGTCTGCAACAAGTTAAATAGAAAAAACCTACTTAAACTTTAGGTCTTCTCCTGTTCTTAAGCCAAAAGTCTTTCCTTACCTATTTGTTAATTTTCAAAGGAAATTTCCAAACAAATCCCAACCCCACCCCAGACACACAAACAGCTAAAAAGCAAAACCAGGAGCAAATTCGCCCTCTGACTTAGATGTACAAGCAGCCCAGAGAGGTTAGGAAGTCAATCACTCATTTAGTAAGCCTATATATGCACAGTTTCTGAAATAACCTGGGTTTGGTGCCACGTTAAATGGAGAGAAAGATGGGATGTGAAGGAGATGTGAATGTAATATTACACCTGTAAGATTAGGTGTCCTGGTTCTTTCTACCCTGCCCCCAGTTTGTATGCTGGATCTAAAAGTGCAGAAACCCACAGCTGAACAGGAAACAGTTCTTCCACACTTCTGACCCTAAACTCACTCAACATACCTAAGAACCCATGGAGACTGCCCCATCCTGAAACAACACTGGCTTTTCAAACAAGCACACTCTTCAGCCTCATTCACTTTGTGTTCATGATTAAGCGTAACAAAGAACAGCTCTGGGCTGCATCCATTCCTAGAGACCAGGGCTTGCTGGGACCTGACTCAGGCTTTGTGGGACCCCCACTAGATCCTGAGCTGTGATCAGATCACCTCTTCTGTGATAACCCATCACCATCAATCACCTATCAGTTACCATATCATCAGTTTCTGAGTCCAAGTGAATAAAATCATAGAATTTTTTGGGAATGTCAGATGAATCCTCAGGGGTCTGTGATTATCAGCCTGCAGAGAGAGAATAGGTAAATTGAGGCAGAGGTAAAGTTATGCAATTTCCCCAAGTCAGGCTCCAGATCAGCCTGGGCACTCCAGGCTTGCAAGCTAAGCTTCTGCTTCAGCCATTAAATCTTTGAAAGGGATTATGCAGCAAGGTGCCAGTGATAAGGACTGGATTTGACCTCTAAGGACCTTCAGATGCGACATTCCTAAAAACAATTACCTTCATTTTCCAGCATGCTGGAAACACTATGAGCAAACTCTGCAGTTGAAGTATTTTCATCTGGTATTCTTAAAAAGAATGCTTAAAACTTCAGTTGATTTTCTGATCTATAAAGGGCCCCCAGGCAGAAATTCTGATGCTCTTATATGTTTGCATAGAAGAAAACAGAGTGCATAACAGAGTTTTTACTTTGCTACTCCATTAAGCATCATTTCAGAAAACATAATGAAACCATCGTGAAGAATACAGCTTTCTTCAGAGAGAGAACACAGACGTTAAAGGCAACATGAATTATTTTAAGTGCTATACTTCTGCCAACATACTCCACATTTTCATCATAAGACACCACTCCCCCAGAGTGGTAGTCAGCCAGTGTCTTCTCATACAAAAGGCACAGATTGTTATTTCTCTGACAAGGAAACCAGATCTAAACAATGTATATTGCTGCTTGAAGTTTTGTTTTTCAGTTAGTTTTTGTTTGCTTTCAATTTCAGGTACATTGTTATATCAAGCTGATTGGATTCAAAATGAAAATATGCTAAAATTTTCAAACAAAACCAGCTTTTCAACACTTATTCATTTTTGAACTTCTGATAAATTTTCTTTTTAATTTGCTACACAAAGTGCAAAGTCTCAAAGACGAAAGGTGACTTGATTTCTAACCTATACTGGCTTTTCACTCATCCTTCCCAGAAATTCCTCTAATATAACTGAAATGGGAAAGCCTTTCTCTCTCCTCAGGATGACTCACAGAGTCCTTCCACAGCACAAAGGCAAGATACATCACTTCTTGTTCTTAAGAAATGTCACTTTCTTATTCTTTTGAAACAAGGTAGGGCAAGAAAATATTGGAGTGTTATTTGTTATATTTTGTTTCCTTTTTCCTTGAACAAATTTATCAAGCAACTAAAATTCTGCCTGGTCATAACAGCATTGTAACAACAAGCCCACAGAAATGCTCTGTGAATCTCACTCCTCAACATCAGCATCCTCTCCTCTGCTTCTGTATCCCTGCCCCATCTTTTACCTACAGGAGTAAGTACCCACATGGTTATCTTTCAATAGCTGCTGGGATAAGCTTCATGAGCGCTCAGCAATAGTAGTGCTTCCTTGAAGAGGCAATGCCTACATCTGCATCCAACAGCTGGCCAACACTAAACCCACTTTGTAGGGCATAAACCTGCTTCCCAGGCCAGCCAGCTGTTTCAGCTACCAAGCTGCTAGATCATCCTCCAAGAGTCCAGTCTAGACCAGGTAGAAGACTTTTTTTTCAGTATGGCTTAAGATATAGATAGATATGATAGATCACATAACTCATTAGATCACTGTAAGCTGCAGGCATCTGCAGAAGTTATAGAAGACCACCCTAACATCACACCACTTGGTAATTTCCAGCTTCAATGTAACTCAATACTCTGACCCACACCTCAGCAACAGATACGAAAGTGGCACAAACATACACTGACAATAAACTCCAAAAACTTATTGAGAGTTTCCAGTCCACCAATTACAAATCAAATAGTTCTGGGCTCTGTGCACAAAGTCTCAAGAGGGCTTATTAAGTGCTCCTGAGTTTCAGTGTTACAGGAGACACACAAAACATAACTCTGCATCTCCCATCCACCAGTTCCCATGTTAAGCTCTTTCCTGTTTAATAAACATATCAAAAGCGGTTCATAAAAACGCTAGTGGGTTTACTGTTAGCCTGAACAAATGTTACCAGCACTAGCAAATGCTACACAGGCATTTGTAGCTCCAGAGCAGAGCATGTACTTGACTTCGACTAGCATGTGCAATTTCCAAGCAGTGCAATGTACTCTGGTCAGAACAGGCCTGTCAGCTATTTACAGAGTGCAGAGGTAGCTGTAGCCATCCATCCCATCCCTACACAGAGTCCAGCAGCAGCACAGACTGCCCCACCACACCTCTAAACCCCAACAGTGTAAAAACTCATTCTACCACCACACTAGCATGTCTCCACTGGGCACATCCCAAAAGTTTCTGGTGAATAAAAGCATGAAGATGCTAAGCAAAGGGTTTAGTTGGTTTTGCTTCTCCCACAACTTCCCATACACATAACTTCCCCCACTGCTCTTCGGGTTTAGGGTGTGACTCCACTAGCAGCAGAAACAACACTCAAGTGTTCTGTGATGCTAAACTAGCTACTGAAAACACTAGATTTGCTTTCAAGCTGCTGATTTCGGTTTGAAACAGCAGTTCTGACTGACAAAACAGTGATGAAGATGTAAGCAGCCTATGTGTGAGCCCATCTACCCAAGGTGGAAAAGTTGTGTTTTCGATTTTTTTCCTCCAAATAAGTTCTTGTTTACTGTTGTAAATACGGTTCTTCACGAAGAGTCACACACACACACCGCAGACGTACACAATAGTGCAATCTTTCATATATGGTATAAGACCAAACGCGATGTATTCTGAGAAGACCAGGCCGAGCGACTGCATTAAGGGCCCGAACACCCAGCCGTCCGAGTGGCAGCACTGGGGATGCGGGAAAAAACCCCAGGAGCCCTCCAGGAGCTGCCTCAGAGCTTACAAACTTCGCTCTGTATCAATCCCTGACCTCTCTTTAAAGGAAACTGGTGCCAGCCAGGTAACAGCAAAAGTTTCAGAATTCAAAAAGAAAATCCTTGTAAGGATAGAAAGAGTCTGAACACACAGACGTGACCAGCCCGACAGCTGCGGAACAACGCGCAGACAAGCGCTCTGGGAACGAGCGGTCATTGAATCAACAGCTCGCACGCAGGTCGCGGCCGAACGCTCTCCGTGCGGGACGGGAAAAGCTCCCGCCCGCACCTCCCCGCGCCACCTCGCCCCAGCTCTGCAGCTCGGCGGGCGCGGAACCGGGTCCAGAGCAGCGCTCAGCCCGCGCCCCGGGACAGCTGCGGCCGCATAGAGACCCCCCAGCACACCCCGGCAGCGCCCGTACCTGGGAGCTGAGGTACCGCCGCAGGCACTCCTCGCACACCGCCTTCTTGCAGCAGGACAGGGGCTTGATGGGCTTCTCCTCCAGGCACACGCGGCAGCTCAGCACCAGCAGCGGCCCGAACTCGCCGGCGATCAGCCCGGAGAAGGGCTCGGGCAGCAGGTACAAGTCCACCACTTCGATGCTGCCGCCCGACGACAGCGGGTCGTCGCCCGGCACCACCCCGCGCCGGACCGGGGGCTGCCCCGCGCCCGTGCCGCCGCGGGGGGAGCCGGTGGCGGCCGCCGGCCGGTCGTTCTCCACGCAGTAGACGGTGCAGTACACGTGCCGCCGGGGGGGGCGGCGGCGGCCGCTGCCTCCCTCCGGCCCCTCCTCCGCCGGGGCCGCCGGCTCCCCCGCGCCCGG